ACTGTGCTGCATATGTACACAGCTGCTAGACATACGTTGATCAAGCTAAAGAGTAACTTTTCTCATGCTTCAGCTTTTCACTTCCTCTTTCATCCCTTCACAGATGATTGCGGCCGAGGGTGTGGCGGCCATGAGTGTGTCAGAGTTGCAGGCAGCGTGCCGCATTCGTGGGATGAGGTCTCTCGGTCTTACTACAGATCAGCTTCGTGAGCAGATGCAGCAGGTGAGCAGCCGGTTTTTAACGTGTTTTCTTTAAGCGTTCGGTTGGGAGTCGCCCACAGACAACGCTGTTTGAGGTCAGCTGGAGCAAAATGGTTCAGATTTGCTCTTGAAGACAAGTTTATCTTAGAGAAAAATGAGGAGTACTGTAGGACATGATGGCAAGTTATTGGTCCAGTTATTGGATCTGCTTTTCAGCCCGTTGAGACTAATATTAGCAGGTTTGTCAACTTTGCAAAATAAATGCTTACAAATACAGGCATCCAAGAATATAAATGCACTGAATGGGTTTTAATTAGAAAAATAATAAAGGAAAATGAGGAAATAACAGAATAAAATAAATAAAAAAGTTATTGGCGTTTACAACGACACAGATCTAAATTAATGAGACAATCTCACCACCACCGATTTTTCCAGTTCTTCAAGTCAGGATCAGGTCGACGTCTGATCCAAATATCAGAGCTATTTAGAAAAAAACCTTTTAATCAAAAGCAAACCTTTTATACCTTTCCAGTAATCTCTTTTAATAAATGTTTTTCTCTCATCTAGTGGCTGGACCTGCACCTGAATGAGAACGTTCCTCCATCGCTGCTGCTGCTCTCCAGAGCCATGTACCTGACAGACCTCAAACCCAAACCCCACGTCATCCCGCCTGTTCCTAAGATCGAGGTTCGTCCTTTGCAGACAATTTAAAATCCTACAACTTAATTCACTGACCTATCAGTCCAGGCCAGTGAAAGCTGCACAACGCTTAACACTCCAGCTGTTTAAAAAAAACAAAACAGGATCGTCTTTGCTAATCATGATGGAAATAAAAACTGTTTTAAATACAACCAAAAGAACAGAGTAGAAAGTAAAAAGCTGGAAATATAAAAACAGGTTTTGAATGTGAAATAGAGCACATCTGAGAAAGAGAACGATAATCAAATTAAACCAGAGCAGTTTATGATTTTAGACGTGTTCTTCTCACCTCATATTTGTTGGTTGGTCTGCAGAAGGTTGGTGTTACTCCAGAGGAAAACCCAGTAGCAAATACAGTCCCAGTCAGCAGCGACAGGTTGGCAGACCCTGCACTCATCATCAAAGACAGACCGGTCAGTGCACGCCTAACAAAACCAAACACTGAACCCCAACAACACATATGAGCACGAGATCAGATGAACTGTATTTATGACACAGGAAATTGGGCCAAAGCTGCAGGTCTGCAGAGATTTCCTCCTCAAGACCAAAACTTTATTTTCATGCTGGAGGAGCTCTGCTGCCCATTCTCAGGCATACTTGAGTGTATGGATATTTTCTGAGATATAAGGGACAAAATAAATTACTAATCTTTATTTATACCTCCCAACACAGGACATAAAGCCAGTCAGTTGTATCCATTATTATTATCTAATGATATATTTATCATTTTTTTCTTTTCCTCAATTGACTTTTAGGCAGAGGAAGTGAGAGACAAAGCTCCAGCTGTGTCAGACAAACCTCTGACTCCTGCTGAAGTCCTTCAGGTGAGTGTCCACAGAAACCTGAATGGTTTCCAGTAATTTCTTCCCACTTTGGTCTCATTCATCTGTCACACTGACCTGAACATGCGATTGACGTGCTCTTATGATAAATCTTTTAGGTAATCACTGAAAGCAGAATAAAACATAGACACAGAACAATAAATTAATCCGTGAGGGTTAAAAATATCTGAGAACGACTTGTGACTGTCACACAGTCACATTTATCTTTTAAAGTCAGTCCTCCCAAGATGCGTAAACACATTTTAAGATTCCTTGTAGGGATTTTTTTTCATCTTATTTTTAGCATCTTTCAAACGAGTCTAATTTCAAATGTTCATGACTGCCATGAGTCCTGGTCGTTTGATTTCTCCTTTGTTTATTTATGTTTTAAAGACGTGAAATCATTTTTATCTGTCACGATAAATCAGTGAAACATGTTAATGATGCCTTTGCAAACTCTGGGCCTAACGGAGCGCTTTCAGAGCTGATTAGTGGTGAAATATTCACTCCTGGCTGCTGATTCGAGGTGTCCTTTAAGGTCCAGAGAGATTGTACTGTGCTGCAGTTTGTGCACGGTGTGAGTGATGTCAGGTGATGAGCTTTTTCTCTCGCCTTTCAGTTGTGCAGAGCGCCGTTTGCTCACCCTGCCCCCCCAGAGTGAGACGGCCAACAGGGAGGTTTACTGTAACATCCTGAGGCAGTCTAAAAATAGCATGAGTGTGGGAAACCATAAGAACATACCTAAGGGGAGATTGGATTTGTGCCTTAAGTTTTTTATTTTAAAGTTTTGACATTTTAGACACTGAAGTTAAAGGCATGCACTGTTATTTGGGTGTATTATTAGGATTGTTTTTGTGCAGATGTTTTAAAAATATCACACAAATCATGGGATCCAAAACAAATACACAAAGATGCAGACATCTTTTTACCTCTTTCCTGCAAACACCTTCCGCTCTTTATGGATTGTTAATATATTCACGGCTAGTGTGTAAAAGGCCAAGTCAAGCCACAGGTCTAGGTGTATGGGCTTCTTTATCTACCCACAGCTCATGGCCGTAAATTCTTCAGAATTACATATTCTTCAATGTGTTTGCCGTGTTTTCTCAGTGTCTGGGCACCATGCTGCAACTCGTTTGACCCAGGCAACATCGTCACTGTGTCCACTGTATTTCTTGGGTCACTGCAGACTTATTAACAGCGTTAAGAAGAAATTTGTTTTGTGTCTTGATACACGTTCAGTAGGAGATGATAATGTTTAAACACTCTTCCAATCTTTTCCACAGTCCAAAGCGGCAATAGAAGGAACCCAGAAGAGCAAGATCAGTGCGAACGGCGTGTGAAGATGAGCAGGAGAGCCTGGAGCGAGGGGAGGAATGGACGGGGCTAAAACCCCTTATTCTGTTTTTGAACCAGCATCTCACCCAGGAGTCCTGCCCGCTCCTCATCTTCCTCACTGCAGGTTCGGCGGCTTCACCTCAGCAGCCTCGACCCTCAGCTTTGCGCACCCCGATCTCTGACACTCTTCCAACGTGCTACTGCCCCGGCAGTCAGCTGATGGCTGCTGATTCTGTGACCTGAAGTCATTTCCTGGTGAACTGTTTGTGATGGCGATGGTTTCTTCTTTTGTACATTTGTAAATATGCTCATTTTTGTTTTTGTGTTCTGTAACTGAAGCAGCAGCAGCTTTGTACAGTTTGTTATGCGCATACCAGGTTTTATTTGCAGGCGTTTTTAACTCCTGTGCCAGCTGAGAGAGAAGTCAACCCTTTTCTTTTTCTTTTTTCCCCGCAGTAGCTGCCCCACCTTCGTTAAAGTCAGCTGTAGGCACCAGAAAGATGCTGCCTACATAAAATATAAAAGGTATTAAAATGTCAGAGATTGAGTTGATCTGATGGTGAAACAGCGGGTTTAGACTGGGGGGGTGATGACGACGTGCTGCTGTTAAGTGAAGAGGGGTTCGTCATTAAGTGCGAGCTCACTGGTACAGCCACTGAAAGGACCAGCTATTTCAAGTGTATTATGTTTTAACACTATGATGCTAAAGAGTCTTTAAACGGAAAATGCTTGATGTCCGCTCACGTGGAGAAGCTGTAAGCCTGAAACATGAGATGATTATTTTTTGGTATCGTGGCGGATTTGCCCAAATGTCTAACATCGTTATGCCTCCATATTTACTGTCATCAAAGTTGGAAGGTTTCTCCAGCTTTGTGTGTGTGTGATGCTTCAAACTCCCTGTAAACATTTAATGGAGAAGCAACTTGTGTGGTGTTTTATTTCTTTTCTTTTTTCTTTTTACCCCACTCGTTGCTGTTTATCCGTAGGCACCTCCTGGAAGTGGATGTCATAACTGAAAGGACATTTTAACTCTAATCATTGCTGGTTAAGACTTATTTCACTGGTTTTACACATGTGCCTAAGGTTAGAGGGTGATTGTTTGTCATCAGAATATATTATTTTGGTTTTTCAGTCACCTGTTTGAAGCGCCCAGTTGCACCTTTTTCTCTATAGAAGAATGTCTCCTGTTTGCCCCCTTGCCCGTTTGATCCAAATGATTCCTCGACTTATAATCACCAGTGTTGTTACTGATGGGAAAAGCAGACACCTTTTAAATCAGCTCTACATCCTGCGCTGAAGGAGATCAATAAAAAGACTCAAAACTTTCTTTGTCTCTCTTTTGTGCTTCAGTTTTTAATGGATGTGAACTGTTTTTGCAACATTGTGTCATCAGTAACGGATCAGCGCTTTCTAAAGAAGCCTGTGACAAGAACAGATCAGATGAAGCTCAGGAAGTGCAGAGAGCTTAATGCGATTGATGTCAAACAGCTCTTAAAGAAAAAGCTGGAGCTTAAAATCAGAAGTAGAGACTATAGAGGTGTCGGCCAAGGGTTTTGTCTATAGTCACCTGCATTACATTGATGCTGCTGGGTAGCAACATCCAAACAGAGCTGCTCTGAGGCCTTCATCATATGGAGAAACACAGAAAAGGAAAAAGAAGAGAGTGCAACAGCAGCATGGTGTATCAGTCATTTGGCCCTTCATCTGAAACTGTTTTTGGATTTTTTTTAATATGGACTTCTGTGAAAATGAGTTTAGATCACTCATTCCCAAACTTAAGGATGTCACAAACCAAGAGACACTACTGTTCTCCCCCCGCAACACCCTCACGGCCCACCAGGGGGCAGCACCCCACACTTCTAACCCCTGGTTTAGAAATTTGCAGATCTCGTAGTCAAAGTAAATCTAGATTTATGGTTTTGAGAAACATCCCGATTACTTTTCAGTAAATTATATTTTTTTTAAAAAAATCTAAAACCTTTCATCTAATGCCAACATCTGTGGATGGATGACACCAGTGTGAGCTGCTCTACACCTGCGCTGTGAAGGATATCAAAGACATTTTTAAAAGAGTCAGAAAAGTTGTTGTCTTTAGTTTGAGCTTGAGTCAAAGGTTTAAATGAATGTGTTTTCTCTGGGTGGAGATTGACAATGAATGACAGAGTGAGTGTGTGAATGTCTGTGGTGTATTTTGGGAGATGGTGACGGGAAGGGGGTTGAATTTTTTGTCGCCATGGGGACAGGAGGGGCTGACATTTGAAGTTTATCTCATACACACGCAGTGCTGCCGTGGACTCGCTGGAAGCACCGGTCAGTATGTGTTTGTGTGCTTTGGGGTGAATCTGTCTTAACCTAAACGTTTTACACGCTATGGTGTCCTCCCGCCTCTTCTCAAAGAGCAAACAGAGCCAACATGATTACAGGCTCGACCTGGTGAGAGACTTTACGTGGACATCAGGTGGTAGATATGTTTTGTGCACTTCTTTGTTTTCCTTTTGGTGGCGGGGAGCGATTCAAGAAAGAGTTTTTTGTTTTAAAAACAGCTATAAATATGGCTGGCTGCTGAAAGACTGCTCTATTTTAAGCTCGCCAGCTTTAACGGACCTACAGCTTCGTGTTGATAACAGTAGGGCAAGAATGTGTCGTGCAAAAGCATATGACGGTTGTAATTGATGCATTGCACTGATACAGTTACATGCATTTCAAAGATTATTCAGAGGTTTTTCTAACTTCACAGTTAGGGTCATGCATTTAAAATATTTTAAGGTTTCAGTGAGTTAAATGTTTTTCATTTATATTAAATAATCATAAGACAGCACTGCGCAAGTACGGATCAGTGCTGTTAAAGGCAGAGCTGTGCACATAGATTTACAATAATGTCACTCAACTCTATGGGGGTTTTAGTCACAAAATAGACTGCACACAAAGAAAAGGAGGAGGACTCCAGGTGTGAAAAATGAAAGCTCGTAGAAGTGCCTTAAACCTGCAGTTTAATGGCTTGCAGAAGACAAATTATAATGTTACTCTCGTCTTCCTGTTTGCTTTCTTCTCTGACTTCTCTCTGCAGTGGTACAAAGATGAAGCCAACACTTATAGCCATCTTGTGTCTACCTCTTCTCGTCATTCACATTAAACCTTCACTGGCTTCCAAAAGTGGAAAGTTTCCTCAGATAATGAATGCTTTTAAGAAGCCTTCAAAAACAAAACCTAATCTGGACACTAAGTCTAAGACCCAACAGTCCACACAGTTCAACCAAGGAGGGTACCCCCAACAACCAAGTAGACCAGGAGGATACCCCAACACAGGAGGCTACCCTCAACAACCAAGCAGACCAGGAGGATACCCTTACCAAGGAGGTAACCCCAACCAAGGAGGTTACCCTCAACAACCAGGCAGACCAGGAGGATACCCTTACCAAGGAGGTAACCCCAACCAAGGAGGTTACCCTCAACAACCAGGCAGACCAGGAGGATACCCTTACCAAAGTGGGTACCCTAATCAGGGATTCTACCCAGGGTACCCAGGACATCAAGCTGGTGCTTACCCAGCACCGGTCTACCCATACAGGGGCAGTTATGACAGTTACGGGGGTTATCCAGGTGGGTACATAAACCACAACCCAAACAACAAAATCCTGAGTCCTCACTATGCCAGCAGCTTTGGGTATGGGGGTTATGGTGCTGGTGGCGGCTCTCCCTTCTCAAACTATGCAAAGACACAGGGCTTTGTTCCCTCTGATAAATCCAAAGGTTTTGGTCGCAGAGCAGCATTGGCGGCAGCTGGAGGCGCTCTGACAGGAATGGCCCTTGGCTACGGGTTAGGACGGTTCCCCCGTCCTCACTTTCACTTCCACAGCCCCCAGGAGGAGTATTACTACAACTACTACATGTACAGGAAGTATGGTATTATATCTACTGATACAAATGACTTCAGCAGAGATTACGAATACATACAAGTTGACGTAACATTTGATAGTTTCATAAAGTCCTGCATGAATAGAGCAGATCTTCTCCCTGTAAAGAATCAAAAACCAAACCTCAAACCAGCTGTGACTACATCTAAACCCCCCACAGCTGCTACTGTGAACTCCACCATTGCATCAATTACTGCTGCTCTTGGCACTGCCAGCAGCGCCACAAGTAACAGCACCGCAACGAAAAACTCCTCAACCGATTCCCCTTCAGCTCCTCACCCTCCGAATAAGTATGTAGACAATCCTGCACCTGCAGCTTCACAGCTTCTTCAAACTGATGATGACGACACAGTGAGTATTGTGGAGATTGGTTACCCAGCACTGATCACACAGGTTAAGCTCAAGAGGTGCATCGAACTTTACATCGTCAATGCTGAAAGAAACTTGAAGAAAAAGACCAAACTTGAAAGCAGCAGTGGGGCGCAAAGACTGCAGACAGACCTGCGAGGGCTTTTCTCTGTCATCACCAGCATCATAGTGATCCTGCAAACACAGCTGCACTAAAGCCTTCTTTACACAGAGAAACTTGTGTGACGTGTCGCTCATTTGGTTTTTTTATCTGACCAAATGAGTGTGCGATGAAACACTCACTACTCATATGCAACACTTTCACAGCCCACCAGGGGGCAACATAGCAGACTTTTATAATCACTGGTTTTTGTAAATATTCGAAAACACCAGAAGAATTGTAATCAAACTCTAGATGTTTGGTTTTGAGAAACATCTCAGTGAGTTTGGAGTAAATTATAATAAACAAATGTAAAAGTTTTTATCTTGTGATTCATTTTGGGTCATATGTTGTGCATGAATGACATCAGCCTGAGCTGAACTAGCTGAGTAGAGTATGCTTTAACTAAGATTGTAAATAAGTTAAAGTTTGTAAGCATGTCAGCATGATAGAAGCAGGATGAATCTGAAAACACTAGTGTGAGCTGCAGATGGACTGTCATTGTATTTGCTGAAGAAACCTGATTGGTATGAGCCCTAAAGATGATCCATTCTGATCTATTACATATATGATGGAGTCAAATATGTTTAAAGTCAAAAATTTTCCAAAACCATGCAATGGCCAGATTGGAGTCTTTACTGGGCTAATTCTGGCCTTATGTTTGACACCCTTGCAATAAAGAGTAACCTCATGTGATTGAAGTTGCACCTTTGTCCTCTGTAGTTTCCTCTCCTCTTCTGTTTGATTTAAATGAATCCACAGCCTTTATGATGAATTTTTACTTCAGGTCAGCTGGGATAAGTGATCGATGGAGAGAATTTCGACTGCAGTCACAGAAATGCTACACAGGAGGAAACAGGCAGTACTAGACCACAAGAGCAAAACATAAGAAAATAATTTGTATTTTATCTGACACGTTATAGGACAGATTTACTGAAGGAAATTATTCACAATTGCAGAATGAGCTACTAAAAATGCATTGTAATTTCTGTACAAAGTCACACTTCAGTAAAAGCAATGTGATATAGTGGCTCAAAAATCCAATGTGAGCTCAGGTTTCCCACAAGTGCTTCTCTTTGAAAACAGCTTTCCACTTACCATGTTACTGTGCCATGTGGATGTAGAGTGCACCGCATAGTTTGAATAGCACACTGCAACATCGAGGGATTAATCTAACACACTAAAGATTTTCTTTTTTACAGATTGAGCAGAGAGAAGTTGCTCGCTGTGTGCGCACTGCTGAGAAAAGGAAGTTCATTTCAGTTAATTTCCGCTCTGTTTCATGAAAACAGTGTTGCAGTGCTAAGTTTTAGGACCGCGATATCAGCTTTGAGTCATCCACGTAAAGTGCAGATTACGTAAATCGTAAATCCAGGAGATTTTTAACGTCAGAAGACGCTTTCAGCTCCTACAGATGTTAGTTAGTCTGACCCCAAATGTTCCTTCTTCTTTAAAAAGCCAGCTTTCGTAATGAAGGGATATTTGGCGAATTGAGGGGAATTTAAAACTGCTGGCTAAGGGTAAACGTAAATTCATTAAAATTATAATTCATGCCGGCAGTAATGACACCCGTTTATGTCAATCAGAGGTCACTAAAATCCATATTGAATTCCCCTGCCCAATCAGACCAGGAGTGTCATGTTTAGCCGGATGATCTCTTTAAATAGCTGTCTGTCTGAGTGGTGTCCAAAAAATGACGTGGGCTTCATAGATAATTGGGAAACTTTCTGGAGGAAACCTGGTCTTGTTAGGAGAGACGGCGTCCATCCCACTTTGAATGGAGCAGCTCTCATTTCTAGAAATCTGGTCAACGTATTAACCCCACAAAATGTGATCAGGAAACAGAGTTGCAGTCTTACACGCCTCTTTGCAGCTTCTCTCCTCCTGTTATCCCCCCAAACCCCATCCCCTAACTGTGTCAGCTTCCAAACAGACAAAAAAAACAACAACAAAAAAACCCCCAACTAAAAACCGACTTAAATATAAAAAAACACAAAGAAAGAACAATACAGTATCCACATCTCAACCAAAGAGTAAAACAGTGAAATGTGGATTATTAAACATTAGGTCTCTTTCTTCCAAGTCTCTGTTAGTACATGACTTAATAATTGATCAACAAATCGATTTAGTCTGCCTTACAGAAACCTGGTTGCAGCAGGATGATAATGTTAGCTTAAAT